TGAGAATGGGTTTGTTACGTTATCGTCTACAGGATCTAAGGTTTTCCGACGTTGACTTTTACAAGTGTTTGATTTTTGCAGCCGAAGAACTTTAGCTACCTTCAAAAAGAAGATGTAGCAGGTTTTTAAGAGGAACTTTAGCAATATTTTGCGATCTTTAAACCGTAAAAATTAAGCTGCCTTCGAAATTACGTTTTTCTAACCTAAATATGAGGTTCTAAAAGCTATAAATCTCCTTTTCAAACCCATTTTCCCGATAATATGCCGTTACAACCAAATTTACGCTAATTTAACCGATTTTTAAAACCCCATTTCGCCAGGCTTTACCCAGCCAAAACCCCCAAATTCAGTCGGGTCGCGCTTTCCACAAGAATATTTATTACTTTTTATTATTTTTTTGCTCGCTGCAATGTCCGGTCTTGCCCCAGCCCCGTAGAAATTAAATAAAATAAAGAGATTCTACTTAATATATCTTTGAAAACAATTAACTACAAAGTACAAACGATAAAATCTAGAATGCTAACCCTCGGAAACACTTCGGTGGTGATGGCGCCTGCGGGGAATAGCTTTAGCTCAAGGATGAGCTCATCTCCTGGTGGCGGAAAGGTGGATTTTCATGTAGTCTTACGTGGAAGAAGGGTTTCTATATTATTTATTTAACTATTATTTATCTTTAAATCAAATAGGGCCTGGATCCGGACGACCTATCAACAAAACAGGCCAAGGTTCTGATGGCCTACGAGGCGGTGACACCAAATGAAATCTCGGTGGCGGAGAATGATGTAAGTTTTTTCAAAAGTAGAGCAAATATAGGACTTTGACTTTAAGACGAAAGCTTAATCAATAAGTCTTATTAGAATTGAATCAATTTCAAAAGAAAGAGTTAATTTTGAAAGCCTAAATTCGATTTTTATACTTTGAATTCATGAAAGATCAATAGAAAGGTGTAGGATTGGATTTAATAAGTAAATAGATAAATCTGGATAGGAATCCAGTTGGTTTTAAACTTATGAAACGGTTTTTCAAGAGTGCACTTATGTTCCACCCTCAAAACCTGGAACTTTACGGGAAAAAATAGTTCGAAAGATAGATTATCGTCTTTCTGATTCCGTTAAAACACTAATTACAGTGCACATAATTACCGTAATTTGAACTTAACGCCCTATTAGTCCAAAAATTCCAGATCCTGATCATCTACCGCCTACCCGGCATGGACCCCGAGTTTGTGATGGCCGAAAAGGGAGGGAATCGCGGCAAGGTCCCCATTTCTTACCTTGAAGTACTCTAGAAGACCAGTTTCTCACTATTTTTTTTGCATTTATTTCCGGTTTCATCACTTATTCGTATTCTCTGTACAATCCCCAGTGTCAGTTTGCTAGTATCTTCTTAACGTGCATTTTTAGAATAATAAATCGTGCAAATAAAGGTATAAACTCAAATTTACTCGGCATTTTTCGGGGTTTTTCAGTGCTGTCAGGCACAAATACACATTGGGAAATTGGGGGTATTGATTTTTAATAAGTTAATAGGGGCGACCTGGCTAGCAGAGTGGTCGAAATTTTCCCATTCATAGGGTTTTCGAAAATTTGTAAATAGTATTGCGGGATACGGATATGGAAATTGATCACAAAATTGACGGAAAAAGGTCGCTTATGAGTTAAATTATACCAAAAAAGAAAAGTAATAACTGAAACACGAATTAAAAGCGGTCATATTAAGCTGGTTTGTTCTATTTTTTTATCAGTACATAACGATTATAGACACCGGAAATATTGGGGTTGAGATCGGGGCGGGATATCGGAATATTGCGGTTTTATGCTATCGTTTTAAGCTAATGGGAGAAATCGACGAGTAACACAAAGCAAGAATCACATGCGAAAAGTTATAAAAAAGTTGAAATAGACGGAAGGTATCATAGTTATGATATTTCTTGAACAATGATGACTTTGATACCTTCCTGCCCATTTAAAAAAAAAACAGACCGGTGTCGAGGCGCATCAAAACGCATTTGGAACTCGATATCTATCGAGGAATTTCGATTTGGAAACTGAAACGCTGAGAAACGTTTTGTTTCGGCAAGCAGATATGCTCGGGGGTCTCAAATACTTAAAAAATTGGGTCAAATCAGGGTTACAAGTTGCGAATCAGTGACTAGAAGATGATTTGGCTCAAAGACAGGGTGATAAATTACAAAAAAAAAACAAGCAAAAAGCGTATTTTAATAGAACACATCACAAATTGTGACGCTATTTGTTCACTTTTGCAATAATGGCTTCGGAAAACGACGATTAGTTCCATGTCTAAGCATCGCTTGGCCGTTTTAATCCTAGGATGGCTCGGAGGGAGGGTTTTTGGCGAAAATGTGGTAAACTGCTGCTCAAATCAAATTGTCGAAAACGGAAGTCGGGATCCTTTGTCTTCGGAGAAGGATTTTCTTCAGCTTCTCGGCTCGTGGGCAGAAATGAGGCTGATATGCCGTGTATGGGAGCTCGCCCTTGATCACGAGGCTTCCGCGAAGGTGGTGGCGATGCGTGGTTTCGGCTGGGAATTTTCTGAAACGACGCGATATAGTAACGTTTTTACTTATTGGGATTTTTTAGGACATTTCAGGACGATTTTTAGACAAAACAACACTACTAACATCCCTTTCGTTGATTTTTTCTTCAGGACTTCATTTTTTTAGGTCCTTCGATTTAGTAGTTATAGCATTTTGGGTTCTTGAACCTTTTTGATGTAGTTTAACCTATTAATTATGACAAATTGCTTCCTAACTGAATGTCGACCTATGCTGTAGATTCGCACTTTTGCACGCCTGGTAGATGGCAAATTGCCAATTCCTAACCCTGAATTATTGTTGAATTCAAAGGCATAAATCTGCTTCCTAGTAAAATAACACGCTTTACGGCAATTATCTTGATCGCCATCGAGGCTGAAAACGATCTTTGGGTTGAGTACGAAGGTGCGCAAAGTATGCTTAAAATCCTACCCTTCCTTCGCGAATCCGAGCACGACGTCACGGAACTGTGGCAATACTTGGGTCTGGTTGCCGAACAGGTAGTGGAGTTCGTCACCGTGTTGTGAGTCTGCAAAAGCCAATTTCGACGTTTCCGAGTTAAAGCGATTGAGTTCCAAGAAGAAAATTTTACAGCCACTCTCAAAATTGCTTTTTCATCGCGATTCCGAAGCGCTGCAACTTACGGAAGTTATCGTTGCCGGATTTGATCGGGTTTCGCACATCAAAGGTATAGATTTGGATGGCTGGGGGCTTGTCGGCGGCCAGGATTCGTGACACTTCGGTGACGGTTGGCAGATGGAAAATCAGGTCGGTGAGCGCCTGAAAGGAGATGATAGGTGAATTTGCCAATATTGTTCTCTCTCTCTCGCTCTCTCTCGCTCTCTCGCGCTCTCTATCACTCTATTTCTCTTGCTTTCTTTAGCGCTCTCTGTCTCTCTTTCACTCTCGTTTTAAGCTTAAAGCCACGCAATAGCCATTCTCACCTGCACAGTCCTCTCGTACCAATGCATGCTCGAATTGTCATCCTTCTTCCCATCCAAGTAGAAATCGACCATTAGGTCCATATCCTTCGCTTCGCTAAGCCCGGCCCAGATCCCAAGCTGGCGCTTGAAGTAGGCTTCGTCCCACGTCAACCCCGCAATGGTGGCTGTGAACAAATTTTCTAAAAAAAGCGTTGGAGAGGGCCAGAAACCTTACCGAAAAAAAGCCCATTCGTCAGTGGTGACGCCGATCAGAATGTCGTGTCCACGGCTGCTGCGTTCCATTTGGGCGGGGTGCCGCGGGAAAAAGTATCCATCGACGACGAGTTGCCAATTTTTGTAGAGGTACTGAAAAATTGCGATTATTGCTCTTTTTGTGATTTTAAAAAACCAGTAAACTCCGAAAATTTTGAAAGCGTACCATGTCCGCTCCAATAATTTCGCTTGCCGGCGCCTTCATCAGGCATTCTTTCAGCTCGGCATCAGTTGTGGCCGGAGCGCAGACTCCAGATTTCCACTAAATTGATATATTTTGGCCTTGTTTTGAACCTACGGTATCCATGGCCGGTACAGTATTGGAAGGTCCGCCGAAAGTCCCCTCAAAGCACACATCAACAACGGCCGACATCAGGACGACACGCTTGAAGAGGGCTAAAAATACGGTTTTTTTAACAAGTTTTAAGTTTTTTTAAAGTTTTAAAGGTTTAAGTTTAAAGTTTTTGGGTCCTAAAAAATTCTTGATTTAACACTGACCATGGTTGGTGGCTGGTGAAATGGCTAGGGCGTGGGCGGTGCAGGCTCCAGCAGATTGTCCGATCAGCGTCACGTTTTGGGCATTGCCGCCGAAGCTAAAATGAGAGTCTATTGTTGGCTCGGTTTCTATAACTTTCTATCTCTCTCACTCTCGCTATCTCATTCTCTTTCATCTCTATCTTCTCTCTCTCGCCGTCTCTCAGCGGCACATTTTGGTTTCTTCTCTTTCTCTCTTTTCTCCCTCTCTCTCCCTTTATCTCTGTCTCGATCTCACTCTCGATCTCACTCACTCCATCCTTTTCTCTCGCTCTCTCTCATTCACTCCCTGCCTATCTCTCTCCCTCTCGCTCTCGCTCTCTACAGGGTGTCCCAAAAAAAACCCCCTCGGCATTGCCGTCTTCTATCGGATCGGGGCCAAATTTTTACCAGTGGGGGGACCCAAAAAACTAGCAGCCGAATTTCTAAGCAAAATATTGTAAAACAAAGCAGAATATAAAATTAAGGTAATTTTGCCGATTTCACTAGGATTTTGACGGATTTCGGCCTCGAAATGTTTAGCAAAAATGAAGAGGGCGCTATTTCCTACCCGTATAATTTTTTGGTTTTACGAAAATTACGTGCCTCTTCATTTTTGCTAAACATTTCGAGGCCGAAACCGTCAAAACCTAGGAAATCGGCAAAATTAACCTTAATTTTGATATATCTGCTTTGTTTTACAATATTTTGCTTAGAAAATTCGGCTGCACATAGTTTTTATGGGTCCCCACCACTGGTAAAAATTTGGCCCCGATCCGATAGAAGACGGCCAAATGCCGAGGGTTTTTTTTTTTGGGACACCCTGTATATCTATATTTCATTCTCATTTTTCTCTCTCTCTCTCTCTCTCTCTCTCTCTCTCTCTCTCTCTCTCTCTCTGCGCCTAGCCCCAGATAATTTGTCTCAAAGCTTACAATCCAATGTTCTTGTGGATGAATTCGAGGGCCAGGTGAGAGTCGTGGAGGCCGAGGTTTGGCGTCGAGGTACCGTTCAACGCGAGGAAGCCTGGAAATGGTACTTGCTCAATTTTCAGAACTTCGATTTCCGTTTGGTAACTAGCATCTTAACCTCAATTTTCCCCGGTCTAAGATTGCAGTCCATTTCTGCATCTATCCAATCCTCCTAACTTCGGCAATGTGACGGACATCCGGTGGATAATCCGCCCTTCAATTCCCGCTACGGCGAGGCCACTCGCAAAGTGATCTATACTCGTCCGCGTCCCGAATTCCGTTATAATCCGTCCCCCGGGGCACGAAAAGTACCGAACGGTCTATGATGTAAACAAGGAATGGTGATGGGCTTCTTCTGGATACGGCGGGTGTCCCTACCCGATCAGGGTCCAGGAAAACAGGATTAGTTCACCGGGTTTTTAGGGCCCGAATGGGTCGGCGTCAGAGGGCAACACGTTTCAAGGAAAACCCGGAATGGGTTGGATCTTTGCAAAAAAATTAGTCTATGGTTTTTGTTTCGGACGGTTTCACGTTTTCCTTAAGGATCTTTGCTAGTTTGCCAGGCTTAGAAATAAAAAGAACGTCGCAAACCACCAGAAGACCCATTAGAACTTTAAAAACGTTTTTGGCGCCTCACGACTTGAAAGCTGCCCTAGGAATCTTTGCTAGCTTACCCCTCTCGCATCCGAAAGCATATCTTAAGTTTCAAAATTGTGCTTACCAAGCGCGCTAAGCCGATACTGGAACGCGACCACAACGAAGCCGGCCATCGCCAGGTTCGTCATGTCCTTTGGCTTGAACTCGTTGCTGGTGCCGAATTTGTAGGCGCCGCCGTGGATGTACACGAGAACGGGCAGCTTTTCGGGGAGGGCTTCGGGGTCCTAAACGGATAAAATATTACATTTTAGGCGGTATTTATGCCACTTAAATATCAGCAAAACGCCCGCAACATACCGTCGGTCCGTAGATGTTCATGAAAAGGCAGTCCTCGCTCATGTTGTGCTTTTTGTAGAAGTCCACTGAAAAATCGGATGTAAGTATGATGCGCTCTACGCTCGCTCTTCTCGCTTTTCACCACAGTATCCCGTTTTCCCCCTTACTTTGTTCACACTCCTGCGGCCGTTGGTCCATCGTCGATTCTCTCCAATTTGTCGCCATCGTTGCTTTCTGAAAATATGGTAATTAGGGCGCAATTTCCGGAAACCGCCTTCACAAGCCCCGTTCATTTTTCCGCCACCCCCAAATACGCAATTTCCCCACCAATTTCCTGTTATTCGCCACAAACAGTTTTCGACACATTTTCTTAGAAGAATTTTGGGGGATTGTTTTTGAAAATTGGCCGGAAATGCTGCCCTTGTGAGGCGTTAGGGGGATTAAGCGCATTTCCGGATTCGGCCGCCGCATCGTTACGGGAAGCTACCGTAGTCGACATTCATAAGTTGCCGGCTAATTTGGAATTTTGATGCTACGCGCGCCTTCCGTGAATGTACAGGTGTTGCTTTTTGTGGGGGGTGGGAAAATTGGGGGCTTACCAGCACCGGAAATTAGGGTTAGGGGAAAATGAATGGCCGTTGGCGAAGTACGGATTTGACCAAGGCATGAATAAAAAATTGGAAAATTGGATAGAAGAAAAGAGCATTGAAGGACTTTGGATAGTGTAGCATTAAAAGAGAGAGAGAGAGAGAGAGAGAGAGCGAGAGAGAGAGAGAGCCGAGCTCCAAGAGCTCTATTATGGGCCATGCATATAAGTATGCTAAGTACGTCATACACCTTTGGACAGCGTTCTTAGGCGCGTATGGAAGTTCCGGGAAACTGCGCTGAAAGTTTCCATGATTCGCTACTGTATTGAATTTATGTCGATGCCTTTAGTGTACCCAAGCTCCGATTGCGAAAAACTGACCTGAAACCGGACGGGTTGCGGAGCGTACCGGACTCCCAGTCTTGCCGAGAAGGACCGGCCGGAGGCATCCGGGCCGATGACGAGACCCTTGGGGAGGGAACTCGAGGCGATGGCTATTAGTGTGCCAAACAGAGCAGAAGTCAGCATTGCTCTGGAAAGGGAATGTAACGTACTATTGCGTTTCGAACCCGCAAAAATTAGAAAGAGCGAGAGAACAAGAAATAAAAAGTTCCATAGAGAGTGAGTGGGAGAAAGAGATGTAGAGCGAAAAGCAGGAGACAGAGCGAGAAAGAGAGGCAGCTCGAGAGAGTGATAGAGAGAGCCAGAGAGATAGAGAGAAAGAGAGAGAGAGAGAGAGAGAGAGAGAGAGAGAGAGAGAGAGAGGCATGAAGATATATACGTCTCAACCGCAAATGCCGAAAACGACGAGCTACTTCCCGGAGCTTCTCCTTCCATCTCTTGCTCCTTATATACCCGTCAGCTACCACCCAAAAACCATAGATTTTCCCGCAGGGTTCAAAGGGAAATCACCGTCTGCAAGCTCAACCTCCAAAATTAGAAATATCATGCGAGAATTCCACCGAAAAACAGGTCTGCCGCGTCAAACCCGAAGTTTCACGCGGCAGACCTTTCGGGTCCGTTAAAAGTAAAGCTCGGAGCAAAAAAAGTACAAAAAACTTCGTGGGATCCTTGATGCTTACGTCAAGCCACCTGTCGCTATTTCGGAAGACAAAGTTTCAGGTGCGTGGGTCGCAAAAAGGTGGGTTGGAAGGAGCGCCACCGTATCCCAAAGCCCCCCTCCCCCCGGGGGAAATTACCACGCGCCCGGGCGGCCTCCGGTGGAGTACTATTTCCGGAGGAGAGAGCGAGAGTGAGAGAGATAGAGAGAGCCAGAGAGAGAGAGAGATAAAGCGAGAGATAAAGAGAGAGATAAAAGAGAGAGATATCCCGATTCTCGATTTGGATAGGAAATAGGGGTGGAAGCGGGGATGATCCCGGCGTGATATTATATTGCAAAAAAGGCATGGAAGGTACACTTATGGATTCTAGGAACGATTTGTCATCTAAAAAGCAGTTACGATAGCGTATTGTAACGTATTGTAACGCACTGCGACAACGAAATAGGAAAACTGATAGGCAAAGTGGCTCCAGATATTTAAGATGCTTGTATCCGCAAGCACACAAGTTTTGGCGCCAAGTTTCGCGACCATTTTCAAGCATTAATGATATGCATATCGCCGCTGGGTTACACCCACCAAATTGTGGCGTAATCCGTTTTTGATAAGAAAGGTCTCTAAAAATTAACTTTTGCAATAAATTCCGAATTCGGAATCTCCCTTTTTTACCCGATGCAGAAAACTGAAAAGCCCTGGAAATACACTTTAGAATCCCCATTTTAGTCATTTATTTAAATATCCAATAGTATTTATTAAGTTCAAAATTCACAAACCTTTTAAGAGCCACTGTTGGCTTAAAAAACGACATTTTTTATATGCTTCTACGGGCAAGTAAGTCAGACATAGTATAGCTTAAAAATTTTGAAAACTTAGCCCCGAATAAATTCTAATTTTCCCTTCATCGCTACTTTAGAGCGTAGCATAGCTACAGGAGGTAAATTCTAGACACCCTTCCCGGGATGGCCGTCTGTAAATGAGGGCCCAGGGTTCATGATGGGCCCCATTTATACCTAGAAGAAGCTCCTCCCTCTTCTCTCTCTCACTCTCTCTTGCTCTCTCTCTCCAGGGGATTGGAGTAATTTCACCAAATTCTTTCGAGTCATCACTCGTAGTAAATTGCAAAAACCATAAGGATTCCCCCCTTGGGAGTACGGTAAATCCGGTCCACGTGTTATTCTGACAAATACGAGGCCCTACAATGGGCTTTTTGGAACGTGGCGAGTCGCAAAAAAGTTTAATTAACGTGGGGCAGTCGAGCGTTCTTGAGTGATTCTATTGGATGAAGCCATAGGACCACGTCTGAATACCCTGGACGGTTTGTGATCGAAAGGGGTGGGGAAGGGAATACTGTAGTATGGGTCTAAAAGGAGTGAACGAGAGAGTGAGAGAGAGAGAGAGAGTGAGAGAGAGAGAGAGAGCGAGAAAGGGTGAGAGAGCTGGATCGTTGCCTTCCAAGTTCCTTTAAAGAGCTTAAGGTGCGCAAAAGTAGTCTGAAGAGCGAAATATGGGTTTAAAGAAACGACGAAGTCAAATTCTCACGGATATCGATGAATTTACAAAAAAAAAGATTTTTTAGATTTTTTAGCTTCAAGTTCCCTGAAACCCGAAAATGCCCTCGAAAAATCTTATTTTTTTTTTGCTGAACGCCGAACTTCTTTTGCGCCAAAGACAATCTATGGTCCCACCCACCGATCTGATTTACGGCAGGGAATTATTGGCAAATTCAAATCGAATTCCCAGGGTTCATGTTGCCGAACGTAAATTGTGTTCCAGTGAACATTTTTTGTGACCTTTTTGAGAAGCTGATGTCAGGAACGTTGCGCATTCTAAGGTACCAAGATTGATTTCGGTTAAGGAAAAATGCCGTTTTTTGTCATCGTAAGCAAAATGCGAAAAATTTATGGGTCTGTAAATAGTAATGGTCTGTTAACGGGGGGTCGAGAGATTTTTAGCCGGAGGAAAACTCATTAGCTAGCCAGCTAAGGCGGTTTATGATAGCTAGAAGTTGCAAAAAGCTGTGAAATTTCGAAAATTTGTGACTCATTCATTTTTCATACATTTTAACCGAAAGACAAAGTTTTGCGGACATGTTACAATTTCTATGTGCTTTTACAACCAAAAATAATGTAAAACGTTAGAAATATGGTTTGTATTTTGTTAAAGGGCTATACAGGGTTGCCGAGAGCCCCTAGAAACCCCCTCCCCCCTGCTAACAGTCCAGTGCCCCGTAGATTCGCTCTGTACACCATAAACAAAAATTTCTAGTACGCAAATCCAAGCAGTGACAAACAATACTCGATCCCCTCGGACTCTCCTCTCTCGGATTAGTTCGACCCCTTCGGGTCCCCCTCATCCCCCTCAAATCCTCTCCATTCCTAATTTGCATAAAATCCCCTCCGGCTGATCTCCCCCCTCCTTATCCAGCCCCACTCCAAATCCACGTACCTGATCCGGGCATTGCCGACAAGCCGGGGGTCCGCAAGGCTCGCAAAATATCCGGAAAAAATTAATCCGAAATTGAGGGGTGCCGGGCCGGGATCTATGTACGGTCACTCTTCAGGGTTCGAGGATTATTTCTTGACCCCCGTGGACTGAGATGCGGTTACGGTATGGCTGCCGAGTAACCGGAAACTTGCGATTTTGGGGCGGATATATTGGTTTTTAGGTAATTCAAAAAGTTCATGTGGATACAAGTGAATCGGAAGGCTATTGAGAGAGAGAGAGAGAGAGAGAGAGAGAGAGAGAGAGAAAGAGAGAGAGGGAGAGAGAGAGAGAGAGAGAGAGAGAGAGAGAGAGCGATAGAAATCGGGACGGGGGGAAGATATAAAATGAGAGAGAAAACGCTAGAGTGGGAAGAGAGAAGCGAGAGAAACCGGGCGAAAGAGAGAGCAAACGAAGGAGAGCGATGGAGAGCGAGAAATAATGAGGGAGAGTGATGGAGAGCTTGGGCGGAAGAGAAATGGAGAGATCTAAGGAGCACGAGCTTTTTTGGAACATCAAAAGTACAAAACCTATCGTGACTTTCCTAAAAAACGCTGACTGTAACCCTCTTTTGGTCGAAGTGGAAATTTCGTACGTGCGATAGCACATCTTGTGCAGAATTTTTTGCTGATTCCGAATCCGTTTTCAAAAGTTGCGGAACCCCTCAGATTAAAAAGTTACAAGCGTTTTTAATACCCAAAATGCCACAAATCGCTTACTTTAAAACGTTCTACAAATTCCGTAAGATACTTTTGGGAGGAAAGTAAGACATTTTCCGGGGTAAAAAAAAACGTGCTCTTTCGAATGGGCTCTCTCACAAACCCGTAGCTCGAAATTTCCAAAAAACTTTTTTTGGGCGGGGCTTGCCCAAGATGGTCGATTTTCGAAATTTTCGAAATTTCGAGCTACGGGTTTGTGAGATAGCCCATTCGAAAGAGCACGTTTTTTTAACCCGGAAAATGTTTTACTTTCCTCCCAAAAGTATCTTACGGAATTTGTAGAACGTTTTAAAGTAAGCGATTTGTGGCATTTTGGGTATTAAAAACGCTTGTAACTTTTTAATCTGAGGGGTTCCGCAACTTTTGAAAACGGATTCGGAATCAGCAAAAAATTCTGCACAAGATGTGCTATCGCACGTACGAAATTTCCACTTCGACCAAAAGAGGGTTACAGTGAGTTTTCGGCCGGGAGCATAAATAAACCCACTGACCTTTGCTTCAGAAAATCCCCCCAAGTTCCACCTGCCAATTTCAAAATTTCGCCCGGATCTGATATTTCCTCCGAGGCGCCTATTATTCCGCTAATTGCGTTTTTTAATCAGCGGTTATGGCCCGGCGAATCCGGGCCTTTCCGTCTTCAGCAGGTCAAAAATAATTACAGGCTGCGACACTATTTTTTAAGCGGCTGACAGACCGCCGAAAAAATGTGATACTTTGGAGTTTTGAAATTAGGGGTATTTTTACTTTAATCTTTCTATTTTTAGGAAAGAAAATCTCAATGGCTAATTTTTAAGACTCTCTAGGAACACACCAGCTACCGATTTAGATTTTTATAAAGCGTAAAGGAAAGTCCAGAAAACGGTCATTTTCCAAAAAAAATATGCTTGATTTATTTTTATCCTTGATTGCGGTATCCTTATCCTTGTATCCTTGATTTAAAATTAGCAGTTCAACCCCTGAATCTCAAAATAACCTGCAAAAACAAATTTTGACAACTACGTAGCAATACCCTGGGGACGCACTAACGAAATAACGACCCAATACGTCAATCCCCTTGCTGATTTCTTGGCAGCCCAGTTTTCCAGGGATTCAAAATCCACTTCCAAGCCTTAATTTGGGTGATTTCAGTTTCCAAACTTGAATTTCGAATTTCGAATCGAATTGAGCTACCACAGGGAATTGAAAAGTGGTAGTATTGGGAAAAGGCGGATACGGTGAGTTTGAGGGAATCGAAAAAGTTGAGAATTACCGAATTAAATTATTTGGTCGT